GGCATCGTCGCCGCCGCTCCTATCAATCAGATCACTCCTATTATATATAGGATATATAGGATATCACTCCTATCAATCGTGCTTTTAATAGTGTCGAGCGCGGTGTCTTCTTGCGGTAGCATGACGTCAACCCGAGGCGGCTCATGCTCGCTGGTCGCCACCAGGTGGTGAGAAGGGGTTGTCTCGCCCTTCTTCTGAATCACGGCGTTCATGTGATCTGCAGCGAGTTCTTTGGCCCTTTGCCTTCCAATCGGACGGACCCAGAATGTTGGTCCCGAGGGTCCCGAGGGCCCCTTCGAGCAATGTCCTGGCCAATTAGGGTCCCTTCACCCACGCAGGGCCCGCTGTTGGGCACTGTGGACCGCTTGTCGACATAGGGGGCTCCAACGACTAAGGAGCCCCGACCAATGTAAATCGCGGACCCCGCTCCTTATGCCTCCATGCCCAGATAGACGTGAAGATGACTGTTCGGTACTAGCGATGCCAAACTGACAGAAGACCCCCTCCCCCATCGTCTAGAGGGGGCCCGAGTCGGCGCAAATGGCCCTCTTACTTGCACTTGCCACAACCTCCGGCGGGCCCTTTGTTCCCTCAAATAGGGACCATAATCGTCGGTTTTGAGGGGTCTGAAGGACCCTTGGGACCTAAGGAGGGGCCCCTGTGCCCGCTTGCTTGTGCCACTGACTGTTGTCTGCCCCGTCCCCGCTGCCGCCCGCCGCTGGGCAGGCGAGGCGGATGTGCCGTCACCATCGTGAGAGCGCCGGTAAAGTTTGCCGTCCAATAAACTTCGGGCCGTTCCCAAATGACGATCTCGTCGGGCGTCGAATCGAGTCTTGCTGACGAGCGCTTGTGGAGAGCGAAGGACGTCGATGAACACCCGCGATCGTGACACAAACGACAGGCCCGTTGGCGTGACTGTGGGGACACCAAAAAAGCCAGACTGGTCGCTCTGCCTCCGGGCTCCTTCAGCAGCGTTTTGGCAGTTTCAGAAGGCGCACGGGAGGAGCAGACACTGGGTGTTGAGGCCTCTCACAACGACGGATAGCTCCTCACTTTGCTGTGCATGTGCATGCGCCATGTTGTCAGGATTAGGGCTACGTTGGTTGCTGTTGATTGCTCAACGCAGGCTCAGCGTTTCTAGCATGTGGGGAGCGGTAGTCTGCGACACCCGTGGACTCTAACTGAGTACTGAGCTTCATCCAAGATGGGGACCAGAGAACGTCCTCGTGCAATCCAAATGCTTCATGACGTAGCCAGATGGGCGCTTCGCAAGTATCTCCAAGATGCTTGCTGCGCACTTAACCACAGCTCAGCTCTCACCCCGTTCCCTCCCCAGTCCAGTCAATAAACACGGGAAAAACCTTACGCGGTGCGGGTGTTAAAAGCCTCGGCTCAGACCAAGGCTGACCAGCCCAGGCGCAAGGTATTTTGGTTTGAGGCTGCCTCTCCGTTGCCATGGACACGGTCGATGCCGACACGGCGCATCCTCAGGTAGTGACGCAGCTATCGCCGTCCAATGGCTGCCCAGTTCAATACCTCCGCTACCAATGTGAGCACTGCGTCCGCTGCCCGGCGTGAAAAGCTCTCCGGCCATCTGACCGACTCAGTTGAGTGTCATCTCTCCCGTCGCTTTACCCATCCTCACTCTGATGCCAAACCGCGCTACCGCCGAGATTTCACCGCTGGTGGCGTGCTTGGTGTCCATTTGGGGCATCGACTCCTCAGAAATTCAGTCACTCTGCCTTACGCTGCAGCGTCGCGAGAGGTCCATCCATCAAGCAAGCCAGATCACAAAAGAAAAGCTGTCCAGATAGCACAACTCGTTTAAGTCTCGCATCATCCCGCTTGACGAGTTCATCAGCGGGCCTCGGACGGTCAGATCTGCCCGGGAGGACACCCATCCCGTGATCTCCGTCCATTAGTTAGCCTCGGACGGTCAGCTCTGCCCGGGAGGACATCTATCCCGTGACCCGGCGGATATCACGCCGCTGAAGCGGTTACTGTCTCCCGGCCCGCCGTTCGCGGGCGGCGCACGACACTCGGACATCCTTCAGCTTTGATCGGAGGGCCTGCGAACCCAGCAGACGCTATCCCGTGGTGATGGCCACATCGGCGCACGGGCCGGTGATGACGGTCGCCTTCGCCATTCGCCGGCAGCGGTCCCGAATAGCGCTGGGCAGAACGCCGCTCTGGGAACGGGTTCACTCTACCGGTCGTGACCTGCGATCAGTTCACTCCATCGGCCCCGACCTGTGCGCAGCTCACTCCACCGGCCCCGACCTGCGCTCAGCTCACTCCACCGGACCCGACCTGTGTTCAGCTCACTTCACCGGCCCTGACCTGTGCTCAGCTCACTCCTCCAGCCCCGACCTGCGCTCCAGGTCCCGACATGTGCTAAGCTCACTTCACCGGCCCCGATCTGTGTTCAGCTCATTCCACCAGCCCCGACCTGCGCTCCAGGCCCCGACCTGTGCTCAGCTCACTCCACCGGCCCCGACCTGTGTTCAGCTCACTCCACCAGCCCCGACCTGCGCTCCAGGCCCCGACCTGCGCTCAGCTCACTCCACCGGCCCCGACCTGTGTTCAGCTCACTCCACCGGCCCCGACCTGCGCTCCAGGCCCTGACCTGCGCTCAGCTCACTCCACCGGCCCCAACCTGTGTTCAGCTCACTTCACCGGCCCCGACCTGCGCTCCAGGCCCTGACCTGCGTTCAGCTCACGCCACCGGCCCCTGCCCGCGCCCAGCACTCTACATAAACGACGTCGGCGCACCATGTCACGCTTGATCAGCAGTGGCGGGGCAATAAAGACACGCCCCAGGCTTCTTTACACTGCCACCAAATGATCGCCAGCAAGGCAGCCGAAGCGCATGCGCAGCAGACCATCTACCTGATTCTCAGACGCCGGCCAATTATTATCAGGGCCCTGCATGAGCGCTAACTCAGCACGCGGGAACAAAAGTCCGACCAATTATGCTACCCGTGCGATGCTGATGTCCCGTCCAATCAGTCCGTGGAAATGTAATGGTGCTCTCAATGTTCCTCATTTTATTGCCACACCGTACATCCTCACTGTACATCCTCACTCGCATGCAAAGCCACGGTCAGCGATACTGGTACGGATTTATCTCGGTACGCGTCAAATACTCTACAGCTCTACAGCAACGCCGCCAACGAAAGCCTACACGTCGGACAGACTACCGAACACAAAACGAGCCGGCGCCTGGTGCCCACCAGACGCGACAGAGCGGAGAAATACCACAAGCGGCGCACGATCTCCACTAATTACCAACAGTCCTCGGACAGTTGGACAACAGTCCAGTTACTGTGCCAACAAGCTGGGGAAGAGTTCGTTAGTACAGCACGCCCCGCGCGCAGGCCGGCGCGGGGCGACAGTTGGGTCCGGGCAGTGTGGACCGCGCCGACCCCGGTTATGAGGTACGTGATACGGCTCGGCGACGTCAGCTCCCGGCAGCACGCTTGCTCAGATCAACGAACGCCACCCAGGGGACAGAATTCCCATGGGACCGTGTCACGCGGAGAAGCCGCGTCCTCTCACAACAATCCGCTCGCTGAAGGGGTCTAATCTCGGCCGGCTTGGTCAGGGCCTGTGGTGGCTGTGCCCGGGACGACGGGAGCGCTCGCTTCACTCGAGGGATTTCGATGCGTCTGAAGCAAGTCGAGCAGCACTGGCCGCCTGAGAACATATGTACAACACGTCTGCCACATTCATCTTTTCCACTTGATAGAAAACTTCGACGTTCGTTCGAAGGGCAAAAACCAGTACCGGGTGAACTCCCGTTGCAGCGCAAATGCTCGTTGCTACGGCGAATATGGTACGCCAAACAGCGCCTCAAGTCAATGTAATTGCGTTCTTGGAAACGACGAACAACACCACCGGTCGCGTACGGCAGATGCACAGCTTCACGATTTTGAACCAGTTTACCGGCGGTCTGAGACGAGCACGCCTTCTCCGCAGGCGGAGCACTCGGCTGACGACGCCGTGTCTGAGCAGGTGAACAACGCGAGAGGTCGGTGGACGATCATCCGGCGTGACGGGTCAGCAGAACGACACTCAGCAGGGCGACCAGACGCGGCTTCATCCGAGCCATCCCCTCCCCGCGGCTGATTCTAATCGTTTCCATCACTAGCTGCAAAATGATTCGCTGCGTCGATCCTATCGTTCAAAAGTGTCGTCACTGCCGTCACGGGCGGACACCAGCCGTCGCGTGACGCCCCTCCCCCTCCCCCGGCACCTATGGGCCGGCCACTTCGCGGACCGCACCCCTCAACCGGCAGCTTTGGCCCGGCGTCTCGGCCTACCGCCGGCCAATACCAAAACAGATGAGTCACATTTGAAACAGATCAATACTGCCGCCGAAAAACAAGCCACCACACGGCCGGCCACCGGGATGTCCCCCGACTGGCGGCGTCCCAGTCAACTTTGAGACTCGCACGTCCTGGTGCTGAGACCATGATCCATCAGATACCTGTCCGTCGGCTTCCCATAAATAAAACAGCGAAATCCATCGGTAAACACGCTATCACAGTCTTCCAAAGAGTCCCGTGCGACGGGTCAATTATAATAAATATTAACTCCGACAAGCGGCCGGCGCTGCTGACAATTTGTCTGGGTCTCAACACGCCGCCGGATAACGTAAACAGGTGATCACGCGGGGCGGATGCTCCACCACCGGCCGGACGCGCCAGCTCCACGGCGAGCACGGCGGTCGCCGACGCGTTCGTTCGCTTCGGCCGGCGCTGCTGACGTTCCGCCGCCGCCGCCGCAACCGGTACCGCCGGCGCAGGTGCCCTAGAGTGAAGCCCTTAAGCTGGGTCCGCGGTCTGCTCAGCGGTCAGTTCGTTCAGCTGGAGCCGCCAGAACCGACGCCCGGTCTCCACCGGTGACGGTGAAGGGCGGACACCAGACGGCTGGTGTCTCCCCCCAGCCGCCGGCACCGTCCGGCACTCGCTCTCAACAGCGGCCCCTACACCGGCCTCTCACACCTTCTCCTTCATCTTCTTACGCTTCTTGACCTGCTGCAGCGCCAGCCGGCCGCGCTCCAGCCCGGGCCGCTTGGCCAGCTTGGCGTGCTTCTTCTTGAGGACGCGGGCGGCCGGCGGCGGCAGCGGCAGCGGCGGCGGCTGCTCGGGCGAGCGCGGCCCCTCGGAGACCGAGCGGCGCGCTCCGCCGTCCGGCGCCCCCTCGTCGGCCGCCGTCAGCGAGGTGGCCGAGGCCGAGGCTGAGCGGGGGCCCGGCGGCCGGCTCTTCTTCAGACGACCCTTCCCCAGCTGAGGACGAAAGCGGACGGGCGGTCAGCGGCGGGGAGGCTGCGAACGGGACTGAGGACGGCAGCGGGAGGCTGCAAACGGGACTGAGGACGGTCAGCGGCGCGGAGGCTGCAAACGGGACTGAGGAAGACAGGGGAGGCTGCAACCGGGACTGGGGAAAAAGGCCGGGGAGGCTCCAATAAGGACTGAGGAAGAAGGGGAGGCGGAGGCCGCGAACGTGACTGAGCACGACGACGGGGAGGTGGGCTAAAAGCGGGACCACAGCGACAAGAGGACGCGTACAGGTCGGGGCGGCTGGTGCTCTTCGAAGGTGGTGCGTGTGATTCAGAGCCGCATATCGTACGGAAAGTGTGGCGCAGTGACGGGACAGGCGAGCCGTGGGGCATCCCTTGCGTCTGACCTACGGCCAGACGTCGGTGTTTTCGGCATCGCAAGACAAAAACGAAACGAAAAAATTGACATCTGCCCGCAGTATTCACCGGGAAACAGTGATCCTTGACGAACGGACCGCTGATCGGTTAATTCTGCTAAGCCGGTGGCAGTACGCGGCACACCCCTGACCTAGCGGGTTTAGAAATCCCGACCATTTGTCACGCTGGGAAATCTTATGGGAGTGCGAACGAAGGCCACAAAGCCATGGCAATAAGGCACATCATGCAATGCATTTACGCAGGATATTTTTTAGATTTGATCTGGACACTGGATGGATGGGTTTCTGGGATCAGACTTCAAGGTAAGCAGTACTTTGCTTGCTGTGCGAGCCCCGATCCCTACCATTCAAAGGTAAAATTCCATGTCAACGGCACACTTTGGTGACGCCAGTTTAACGCGTCGCAATGCTCGGCACGTTAAAGCAAAGCATCCGCAAAAAGAAAACAAAACATATAGCAAAGCATACGCACAGACCTGCCACACGTCGCGGGTCAAAACCATGTCTCCAGTTCTAAAATGGCTAGTGGGTATCGTTTAAAACATCACATCACCAAATCATACGCCGTGCAGACCAAGCGCTTTCAAAAAGACTGCAACTGGCCATAACAAAACATAACACCGCGTGGGCTCCTACCCTGCGTCACAGACACCCGCTATCGCGCGGATGACGTCACTCACCTTGGGCCGCATCGTCTCCATGGCGGCGGTGACGTCACTGACCAGCGTGGGTGACGTCAGTAGCTCGATGGCAGTGAGTTGGTCGGCGCGACAGGCGGGAGCCGAGGCCCTGCGAGCGACCAGAGGTCAGCAGCCGGGTACCGCGCCGCCTCTGCCCGGCCTGGGCGCGGGCGTGGGCCCTGCACCGGCCACCGAGCTGGCAGACAACGCGGCCGGCAGAGCGTTCTCTCAATTAATTTTACGTTTTAAAATTCGGAAGAGCACTCCCTGCTCTGCTCACATTGCGGGCACTTTAATCTAGGGCTCTCCAACGACAAGATAATACAGTTCATAAAATATTGCTTCGCGTCCGCGATGCTTCCTGCGGCGGGCGTTATGATGATGCATGTCTTGCCAGTTACTTCAAGTGGTCTCACAACACACACGACTATCCTCAAAGCAATACAGCTTTGGGGCGCAGAGCAACACCCTACTTATGAACACAGTGAAATGGCTCCACCACAGGAGACCAATTATTTAGAACGGCTGTGGTAGAAGGACCTCATAGACCTCATAGCGGTCTAACGAGCAGCCGGCACCGCGGGTAACAGCCATAACAGGCGGGACGGGACACCTTCACCCAGCAGGGGAACAGTTCATCCATCACGGAGGCGCCATCTACCAGAGGCAACCGCGTCAACTTGTCGCACGCGACGTCAAATAACCTTCAGTGTTATCTGGTAACAAGACTGGCAAAATTGGCCCATTGTTCGAACTGCGTAGTATGGTAGTGGGGGAGGGGGGGGGGGGGGGGCAGGCAGGCATCTGCGACGACAGTGCCGTTTTCTACACAAACGGTGCCTAGCGAGGACCAGTCGCACCGGTACTTCAGATGAAAGAACCACAGCCGCATAACATGACGCACGTAGTATTATTTGTGCGTCCTGTAAACTTCTGAGCCTGCCGCTGTTCTCAGTGCAAGGTGGAAAACGGCCAGATTGCCAATTCACTAATATGTGGTACAATCTGCATGGACAGCATACGATACACACTGCCTGCAAAACGGACGTAGCAAAACACCGTAAAACCTTAGCCGGCCAGAATGGGGTCTCCCGAAACAGTTAGCACGCCATATTTCACGGGCTTAGTCCATTTTCGAAAGCTGGTTGTCGAAGTGAAATACATCATGTAATGGCGACATGGGAGGTCTGATAGACTGGCGTGATTCGCGACTTCAGATCACGCATGGCGGCAGGAGCGACCTGAAGATGACGAAGAAATCCCCAAAACTGAAGGCATATGACTCACATGGTCTTTCACTTATCCACCTGTTGAAAACATAATACAAAGGGCTATTTAGTTTTGCGTATTGGCTCCGACACGAGAAGGCATAAAAGACGATATGAAATTAAGAACAAAACTTTGTTTTTAAGATTCAGTCCGGCCCCAAAAGGCCGGTTAAAAGGCCCTAAAATGGACGGCTTTCTGAACATCAGCGTTCATGCTAAGCAATGCTCGTTGCGTGAGCCCTGGCCCAACCATCCCATCGTGAAATCCCCGCTGAACTGTCCGCCCTGCCGCCCTCTGACGTCACCTGACCTTCAACGAGGCCGCTATCGCCGGCCGCAGGTCATCCCAGCCAAGAACAAATAATAAGCGTCTGAAGCGACTCGAACCCACCTCGCCACGTGGGCGTGGACCGGAGGGCGTGCGCTGAAACCAGCTGAGCTATGAGGGCACAAGGAGAAGGCGCTTTTGCCCAGCAAAAAAACTCCTATATATTTTCGCCACAAATCTGTAAAAACAATAAGCTAACACCTCGAAGTCAGTGTACGACATTCAGAGATGTCAGATGCCCGAGTTATACGCTTCCAAGGAAGCTTTCCTCTTGATTTGGGTATTTCAAATAAATGTTCCATTCGTACTGCATTTCTTTTGAAGTCGTCAATTTGAAACCATAACACTCGCTTTCGTCTCAGTACAATGAAACGCCGTCAATTTAATTTCCGAAGTACCCGCTCATACCCGCTCACAGCGGGTATGTGTATGTGTATGTGTATGTGTGTGTGTGTGTGTGTGTGTGTGTGTGTGTGTGTGTGTGGTGTGTGTGTGTGTGTGTGTGTGTGTGTGTGTGTGTGTGTGGTGTGTGTGTGTGTGTGTGTGTGTGTGTGTGTGTGTGTGTGTGTGTGTGTGTGTGTGTGTGTGTGTGTGTGCGCGCGTGCGTGCGTGCGTGCGTGCGTGCGTGCGTGCGTGCGTGCGTGCGTGCGTGCGTGCGTGCGTGCGTGCGTGCGTGCGTGCGTGCGTGTGTGTGTGTGTGTGTGTGTGTGTCTATACACGCACCATGACGAAATCACTATTCGCAAGAAACCGAGCGCCGAACAACAATGCGGGAACAGCACTGCCCATGAAGCCCGAACTGTGCCCATCGCATCTACGCGAGCCACACTTGCTCCTCTATCCCTTCCGCAATCCCCAAACCCCCGCCTGGGGTCCGGACCGAGCGTCGCGCCTCACCTGCGGGCCAGCTTCTTGCGCGGCTGTCTGGCGGTCTTCTCGGCCGCCAGCTGGGCCGGGCCGCCGGCCGCCGACGTCGAGGGCTCGGCCGGCTCGCGCGGCGCCGGCGCCGGCCGCTTGGCACGCGGCGGCCGGGCCGACTTCTTGGCCGTCAGGCGCGTGCTGCCGCGCGTCTTGACGGCCGGCCGGCGCGCCAGCCGCGGCGCCGGCGTCCCCGCCTCCGCCCCGGCGGCACCGCCAGCCGCCACGCCGATGGAGGCAAGCCCCGCCGCCGGCGCCGCCTCGGACTGCGGCGGCGAGCCGGCGGTGGTCGGTCGGCCGCCGGGCCGGGCCGGCGCGCCGGCGGCCGGCGGCGAGGCGCGCGGGCTGTTGCTGGCGCTGCTGAGCGCGCCGGCGAAGCTGAGCGGCGAGCTGCCACAGCTCTCGAGCCGGCCCGGCGGCAGCTCGTCCGGCAGCGTGGCCGACTCGTCCTGCGCGTCCAGCGTCGGCTCACTGCGGCCCGCCCAGCCGCCGCCGCCGGCGCCGGCGCCGCTGCTGGCGCCGCCGTCCGAGGCCAGCTGTGCGTAGCCGACGGTGCAGGCCGTGGACTCGAGTTCGCCGGTGCTGGCCGAGCCCATGAAGAGGTTGGAGAAACTGACGGGCGGCGTGCTGACCAGCTGGATCAGGTGGCCGAGACTGCGGCACGGCGGCAGCGCCTCCGGCACCGGTGCCGCCGCCTCCTCCGGCTTCGCCACGCGCTTCCTCCGCTTCGGCGCGCGCTTCGCCGGCTTCGCCAGCCCGGACGCAGCCGGCAGCTGGTCGGCCCACGCCATGCCCGCCACCTGGTGCTTGTCGCCCAGGATGAGGTTGAGGTTGCCGACGACAGAGGACTCTGGGCGCGGCGCCTCGGCCAGCCCGGCGTTGACGAGACTGGCGGAGCGCCGGAGCTTGGGCGCGCCCCGCCCCAGCACGGCGCTCTCGCCCAGCTTGACCGGCGTCGGCTTGAGCACCTTGCGCTTCTCGGAGAGGGCGCGCCGACCGGCCGGCTTGCGGGTGAGGCCCGGCGGAGTGTTTCCTGACGGTGGGTCACGATACGGGTCAGCGAGGGGCCACCACCGGCTGGCATCCGCCCCTCTTATCCTCTATCTCGCTTCATCCTGCATCCTCGCGACACCCCGCTTGTCCGGGGCGGGCTGCATGCCTCAGCGACGAGTAGGCCGAGAGCCCCGTGGGAAGGGGGACCCCGCTGGGTACCTGCGCATGCGCGGGTTAAAGCTCGGCGGTTGGCCCCCCGGCGCATGCACGCCTGTCCCACCGTTAACCATTTTCCTTCATCCCATAGCCCTGAAATGACCATGTCTGGTCGAAAGGGCTATAATCCAAAAAAAAAAACACCACCGGCTGGCTCACGGAAGAACACCTCTCGTCTGTTAAACATTCTTTGGGCAGAAGGATAACGTCAGGACCCTTCAAATGATGGATGGCCTTTGCGGGTGGGTGATGGCATCCTTCCTCAAAGAAAAACAAAACCTAAAACAACGTTGCCACATACGTTTCCCGTGACCTTTAGCCGCGAGTGGCACGAGCCGATCCTCCGCAAGAGCCGATGACCCGCCACCCCCGCGGGGGAGGAGGCAGCAGGCAGCGGGCGGCCATACCGGGGGAGGCGATCTGGCCGAAGCCGGAGCGGGGCTGCAGCACGGGACTCTTGACCCGCAGACGGCTGGGTCCGGCCAGGCTCACCACGTCCGGCTGTGTGTCCTGGAGCAGGCACCACGCCGTCAAGGTTACTAGTGTCAATGTTGTATCCTCTTGGCGTGATTTGCACTTCGGAAAACATTACAAAAGAGTGGGTCCGCCGCGGGTACTTCACATCCGTCCCAAGCCCGAACTGGCCGCGTTAGGGAGCGGGACCACGAAGCTACACGTCGTTTGTTCGGTCCCAACGGTTTCATAACACATCGCGACGAAGATGGAGCATGAACCATGGGAAAAACAAGCACTACCTATCCCTTTATCATTCCGAAGGGTCGCGCCACAAATACTGTAACAGAATACTGAACTCAGAGGAACATCCCCCTCTCCCCCGACACACACACACACACGGCACGCGGCCGCCATTCACTCCTGCCCCAGGCAAACCTACGCTGACAAACTGGGCCGCGCCCCGAGAGGTCATTCATCGCCACAGACGTCCGTCAGGCGGTGAACCTCCCTCGGAAAAGCCCGCTCAGCTGAATAGATCACACACGCCGAAGCACAACAGTGATCGGCGCAGACGTCCTTCGGGCAGACCGGCCCGAGAGAAGCCGGCCGGGCCGACTGACACCACAAGAGGAGGCCGAGAGAGCGCTCGCGCCTCGCCGCCAGACCGCACCTTGTTCAGGGCGAGCTCTCCGTCGGCCTTGGTCGCCGCGGCCGCCGCCGCCAGCACGGCGTCGGCCGACCGCTTGCGGGCGGGTGTCACGGCGGCGTTCTCCTGGTCCTCCACCTTGGCCGGCGACAGCTTCTTGGCTGCGGGAGCGAGGACAGCGCCGGTCAGCGGGGCCGAGGCGGGACGGCGGCCGAGCAGGCCTGCTCTGGTGTCCACCGATCACACGGTGACGGCGGCCGAGGAGACCTGCCCTGATGTCCACCGATCACACGGTGACGGCGGCCGAGGAGGCCTGCTCTGGTGTCCACCGATCACACGGTGACGGCGGCCGAGCAGGCCTGCCCTGATGTCCACCGATCACACGGTGACGGCGGCCGGGGAGGCCTGCTCTGGTGTCCACCGATCACACGGTGACGGCGGCCGAGGAGACCTGCCCTGATGTCCACCGATCACACGGTGACGGCGGCCGAGGAGGCCTGCTCTGGTGTCCACCGATCACACGGTGACGGCGGCCGAGCAGGCCTGCTCTGGTGTCCACCGATCACACGGTGACGGCGGCCGAGGAGACCTGCCCTGATGTCCACCGATCACACGGTGACGGCGGCCGAGGAGGCCTGCTCTGGTGTCCACCGATCACACGGTGACGGCGGCCGAGCAGGCCTGCTCTGGTGTCTACCGATCACACGGTGACGGCGGCCGAGGAGGCCTACTCTGGTGTCCACCGATCACACAGTGACGACTGCCTTCGATGCCGTGTGCGATATTAAAGCTGCTGGCGGGAAGAGCCGTCTGGTGCACGAGCGCACGTGATTTTTCGCACATCTATTATCAAAGTAGAATAGCGTGGCACTTAACATGGATACAATTCATTCCTGCAATATGTTCGCCACGTCTACGAACGTCCACAGTGCGCCGTGGGTGGTTACACTAATACGTGCTCACACAGATGTGGGACCAATGCAGTTCTTCACAGCACGCCGCAACAGAATCAGAACAGTGACGGAATAACCATGAGGGACATCAACACGCCGGTTCGTGTCCGGCCGTCGCGCCCCGTGCGTGTGCGTGTGCGTGTGCGTGTGTGTGTGTGCGTGTGCGTGTGCGTGTGCGTGTGCGTGTGCGTGTGCGTGTGCGTGTGCGTGTGCGTGTGCGTGTGCGTGTGCGTGTGTGTGTGTGTGTGTGTGTGTGTGTGTGTGTGTGTGTGTGTGTGTGTGTGTGTGTGTGATTGGGGCTTTACGACGCACTCAGCTGCTGAGGCTATATGGCGTCGCCTGCCTCTCACCCTGGCAGGAAGGGCGGGCACCGCGGGTAATCGAACCCCGTACCTCTGGTTTCCCAGACGCGCAGTAGCCAACGCAGACGCGCTAACCACTACACTACCGGCACCCTTCCGTCGCGCCCCTCTGACCCAACTACCCGCCTTGCTGCTGACCTTTCCTGAGTCGGCGGGCGGGCCGGCGGCGGTCTCGGGCGTCGCCGCAGCGGCCGGGCGAGACGGCCGGCGCCAGGCGACGCTGCGGAGGCCCGGCCGGCGACCCCGCTGCTGCCGCCGCCGTCGGGCTGCGCTCCTCAGGCGGGCACGACGTCTGAAGCGGAGAGAGAGCGGCGCTGTCATCAGACGTCCGACGGACCGGGGTCTGGCCGACACTGGACACACGCGACTCTCCCGTTGGGATGTGCTCACAACGCGCCACTTGTGGCGTGGCACAGCAGAGACAATGCAATGTTAACGGCTTGCGCGCTGTGTACCAGCCAAAAGACACGGGCAGAGGAAACCACACGCCCGACAGGAGTAACACCAGTCGCGAGCTGTAGGCCTGGAGAGGACACGGCGTCCGTGAAATGCCAGATCTAAGGTGGCGTACACCTGACCGCGTTTTCAGCTGGCGTCCCCAACCCAAACAATCCACGCACGGTGATGACGGAGGTGTGCACAGTGAACCGGGCCGGTCTGCCGGGAGAGGACGAACACTGAGCGGCGCCGGCGCCGGCGGGGCGCGGCGCGGCGGGGCGTGGCGGGGCACTCACGCGCCGCTGCCGCTCGCTGGTGAGCGTCTTCATGGTGCGGGCCGTCTTCTCCGGCGAGAACAGGATGTTGTTCTCGCCGAACTTGGTCACCTGCATGAACCTGCGGAGGCGGGGCGTGCTGCGGTGAGCGTCTGATCATGGCCGCGGACACGCGGCTAGGAGACGTCTGCTCATGGCCACAGACACGCAGCTAGGAAACGTCTGTTCATGGCCACAGTCACGCGGCTAGCAGACGTCTGCTCACGGTAACAGGCAAACGGCTAGGAGACGTCTGCTCACGGCCACAGACACGGGCTAGGAGACGTCTGCTCACGGCCACAGACACGCGACTAGAAGACGTCTGCTCACGGCCACAGACACGCGGCTGGGAGACGCCTGCTCACGGCCACAGACACGCAGCTAGGAGACGTCTGCTCACGGCCACAGACACGCGACGAAAAGACGTCTGCCCACGGTCACAGACAAGCGGCTAGGAGACGTCTGCTCACGGCCACAGACACGCAGCTAGGGGACGTCTGCTCACGGCCACAGACGCGCGGCTGGGAGACGTCTGCTCACGGCCACAGACACGCAGCTAGGAAACGTCTGTTCATGGCCACAGTCACGCGGCTAGCAGACGTCTGCTCACGGTAACAGGCAAACGGCTAGGAGACGTCTGCTCACGGCCACAGACACGGGCTAGGAGACGTCTGCTCACGGCCACAGACACGCGGCTAGGAGACGTCTGCTCACGGCCACAGACGCGCGGCTAGGAGACGTCTGCTCACGGCCACAGACACGCGGCTGGGAGACGTCTGCTCACGGCCACAGACACGCAGCTAGGGGACGTCTGCTCACGGCCACAGACACGCGACGAGAAGACGTCTGCTCACGGCCACAGACAAGCGGCTAGGAGACGTCTGCTCACGGCCACAGACGCGCGGCTAGGAGACGTCTGCTCACGGCCACAGACACGCGGCTAGGAGACGTCTGCTCACGGCCACAGACACGCGACTAGAAGACGTCTGCTCACGGCCACAGACACGCGGCTGGGAGACGTCTGCTCACGGCCACAGACACGCGGCTAGGAGACGTCTGCTCACGGCCAGAGACACGCGGCTAGGAGACGTCTGCTCACGGCCACAGACACGCGGCTAGGAGACGTCTGCTCACGGCCGCAGACACGCAGCTAGGGGACGTCTGCTCACGGCCACAGACACGCGACGAGAAGACGTCTGCTCACGGCCACAGACGCGCGGCTAGGAGACGTCTGCTCACGGCCAGAGACACGCGGCTAGGGGACGTCTGCTCACGGCCACAGACACGCGGCTAGGAGACGTCTGCTCACGGCCAGAGACACGCGGCTAGGAGACGTCTGCTCACGGCCACAGACACGCGGCTAGGAGACGTCTGCTCACGGCCGCAGACACGCAGCTAGGAGACGGAACGGTGCCCACTGCTCGCCGCGACCGCAGGTCGGCAGCGGGCGGGGCAGTGCCCACTGACCTTCTAATCCAGGCGCGCATGCCGGCCGGCAGCAGGCAGGGCAGGGCCCACTGACCTTCTAATCCAGGCGCGCATGCCGGCCGGCAGCAGGCGGGGCAGTGCCCACTGACCTTCTAATCCAGGCGCGCACGCCGGCCGGCAGCAGGCGGGGCAGTGCCCACTGACGTTCTGATCCAGGCGCGCATGCCGGCCGCGGGCGGGCGGGGAGGTACCCACTGACCTCCCGATCCAGGCGCGCACACCGGCCGTGGGCGGGCGGGGCGGTCTCCACTGACCTTCTGATCCAGGCGCGCACGCCGGCCGTGTCCCGGTACTCGGAGCGGCCCAGCCGCGAGAGCGGGTTGTCGCCCGTCACGTCCAGGATGGAGACCATCAGCGCCTCGCCCACCTGGCCACGGCACCGCACGTCAGACAGCCGCCCACCCAGCCACCCACCACCACACGCTGGCTACCCACCCAGCCACCCGACACCGCACGTCAGACAGCCGCACATCCAGCCACCCTTTACATGGGCAACGCACGTCAGACGGCCGCCCACCCAGCCACTCTTTACATGGGCAACGCACGTGAGACGGCCCGCCCACCCAGCCCCCCCCCCCCCGCCCCTTACATGGGCAACGCACTTCAGACGGCCGCCCACCCAGCCGTCCGGTACACGCTGGTCACCCATCCAGCCACCCGCTACGAGCACCGCACGTCAGACGGCCGCCCACCCAATCGTCCGTTACACGCTGGCCGCCCACCCAGCCACCCGTTACTACGCGCTGGACGCCCATCTCATACTCAGAAAGATCTCATTTGCCTTTTTGGGCACATGTAGTTATTTGGACCTACGGCTATTCGTAACAACGCATAATCGTTCGGCGTCTAAAACTGCATCGTGTTCTGCAGAGCCTCACCGCCTACTGGCAAACACACACACACACAATTTGCCCGCAGCGGCCCGTTCGCCGGGGGTGGGCCGGGCACACTCACAGCGGCACACGCCCGCGCCGGCAACGGCCCACAGACGGGCCCGTTCCGGCCCGGCCCGACGCGCGCGCGCACCTGTTCGTAGTGTGCCGGCGTGTAGGGGACGGGCTCGAAGACGAGCGGCCGGTCGGCCGGCGGCTCGCGCTCGCCCGGCAGCGGCGGCAGCACGTTGCAGAAGCGGCCCGTGTTGTAGTTGCACTCGAGCGTGTAGCTGCGCACCAGGCCGGTGGAGCGGTAGATGGCCACGCGGCCGCTGCCCTCCTTGCTGAGGCCGTCCTTCTTGCCCCTGGCCGAGCGGCGGCGGTCAGCGGTCAGCGGTCAGCGGTCAGCGGTCAGCGGTCAGCGGTCAGCGGTCAGCGATCAGCGGCGGCGGCTCCACACACGGCACGGTCAGGTGTCGGCACCGGCTCACGCAGCACGACCTGCCGCCCAGCGCGCCTGTGACCGGGCTGGCGACGCCACCCACAGCCTCAGGAGGTCTCTACAACACGACCAGACACTGGCACCGGCCTACACAGCACGGCCAGACGTCTGGCGTGCTACCGACCGGGCTGGCGACGCCACCCACAGCCTCAGCAAACATCATCAGAAGTGACGCCGGCCAATGGTGGGACGCGCTCACAGCGCCTGTGGATACATCTGACGGGATGGACAAACGAGCGGGGGCCATGCAGCACTGGCAATGCTGATACGGCGATCACCGATGGGTATCGTGAATTTCAACTGTGTAAGCCCAGCCAAGTATCCAGCAAATCACATGCTGACAGAAATCAATGCAAGAAGCTCTATGGGCTGGTCACGGTTCACAGCGATAAAATCGCAATTCATCACAGCACACTACTCGCGACAACCACTAGTGAGCAGCTCTCTCCGCGGCCAGCCGATCCACGTCTGCGACACACGTACTTGTGGTGCATGTTCTTCTCTGTGAAGTTGCAGGCGAGGAAGTCGAAGTTGGCCGAGTTCAGCGAGACCAGCTTCGGCAGCAGCATGCAATCCAGCATCGTCTCCTCCGACGAGAAGTGATTGCCGTACATGAAGCAGCCTGGTCGAAGCAATACGGTCGAGAATTAGTGGCATCCATTTCTGGATAAGTCAAGGGAACTATGGGCAGCGAGCACTGGCTGCTAACTCCATCTCATTCTCGGACATCGGTGACTATCTTCCACCACGCTTGCCTTAAGGTTTTTCGAGAGTTGCTTGCTCTCGGTTCCGTCTTTCTTGCGCCAGAGCAGGTGAAACGGAGGGCCGACGCACGTGTGCACATCGCCACCTCAGCTGCCTCCGCTGAAGCGCCATCTGACATACGCGCAGTATCGTGACGTAGCGCCTTTCCGCGCTGGACCGCAATATTGTGGGCTCCTTGGCTTGTCCAGCTACCGTACAAATCGCACCCGGATCAGTAGACAGACGTTAGCACCGGCGAACAGTACATCCTTTCGGAGGATGATAGTCTGGGCCTTGAACATTTGTCTTTCTTCAGAAGCGGTCACCACGGCGCCATGGCTTAGTTGGTTAAAGCGCCTGTCTAGTAAACAGGAGATCCCGAGTTCGAATCTCGGTGGTGCCCATTTTCGTTCATTCAGACAGTTACGCTTGACGCTCCGCTGGACACAAACCCATAACCTTCGCACACAAGATATCCCCGTGCTCCTTCAGGCTAAGTCGTCATGGTACTTGTCGGTGACAATTGGGAGACAGGCAGCATCAGGCATCAGTTTAAATCACGACAATCGTCGGGTACTAGCGTGTGAATAACTGCCAACCTCTGCCACACACAAACTGCTACCCAGAACATGGTAATTGCAGTCCGGCCTTCATATTATGGAATATTCTGACACTGCCTGACAGCCAGCCCTCTAGCGTCCCTGTCCCTTGCTCCCCCCTTGCTTCCCTCTCCCTCCCCCTCCCGCCCACCCCTCCTTCATTCCTCTCCCGAGCGCGTACCTCGCTTGGAGGCGTGGCCATGCATGTCGACGTAGAGGAAGAGGTTGGAGTCGCCGTCGCTGGGTACGGCAGTTGTCTCGCCGCTGTCCACGGTGGAGGCGCTGCCGCCGGCCGCCGACGACTCCGTCTCGCCGGACGACACCAGCGACTCTGAGTCGGAGCCGGCGCTCGGCCGTGGCTCGGCCCACTGCCGGCGAAATCTCAGAGTCATGCCAGCTTCGGCGGAGAGCACGAGTCACCGAGACGGCTGCAGTAAACGTTCGGCGGAGAGCCCCCGTCACAGAGACGGCCACAGCACGCACTCAGCGGAGAGCCCACACTCGGCGGAGGGCCCCCGTCACAGAGACGGTTGCATTACACGCTCGGGAGGCAGCCCATACTCGGCTCTCCGCCGAGCGTGGGCCCCGGCAGGTTGGTTTAAACGGTCAGCCAGCCAGACCAGCCTTGGAGGAGAACACACGCTACAGAGACGGCATCAGTACACAGTCGGCGGAAAGCCCACGTCAGAGAAAGCCGAAGTGCACGCCCAGCGGAGAGCCCACGTCAGAGACTACAGCACAACTCGGCGGAGAACCCACGTCAGAGACGGCCGCAGTGCAGGCTCCGCGGAGATGGGCCACACCCGACAAGGGTGTCCCATGTGGGTACCGTCATGCATCGCGCTGCGGCGCTGCTCAAATAACTATAGTGATTTTATAATGATATACATACCCTTTGTATGTAAATAACTATACATGTATGTATAGTTATTTACATACAAAGGGTATGTATATGTAATATACATATGTAAATAACTATATATAACTATATATAATCTACATATGTAAATAACTATATAATGAGACACATACTCTTCGGTCTTCCACACCAGAAGCCCAGTACTCCTAGCCGGCGAGCAGCGCCTCCGCCTCGCTGCCTCGGCAGCAGCGGACGGGACCGGCGCTGAGGGACGCACCTGCTGACGGCCGGCCGCCGGGGCCGCCGAGGCGGGTCTCTCACGCACTGCCGCCTCCGCCACCGTGGCGGCAGCCTCGCACGCCTCCGTCTTGCGCGGCGGCGGAGGAGGCGGCGGCGGCGGCGGCGGCCCCAGCGGCGGCGGCGGCGGACGCAGGACGCGCGGCGTCAGCTGCAGCAGCGACTTGAGCGGACTCAGGTCGGGCATGCCCAGACTGCTCTCGTCGTCGCCGCCGCAGAAGCACGAGGCGTCGTTGGACACGTCCTCCAGCTCGGGCGGCCGCGGCACGGGGGCCGCCAGCTCGCGCGGCCGCACAAACCGCGCGTCCACCTCCGCCACGCTCGGCTCCGAGTCGAGCACCTCGCACTCGGCCGGTACGCGTCCCAGGTGGTGGTACAGCGCCACGCTCTTGGCGGCGTGCACCTCCGGGTAGAGGGCGCGCGTCGGGTCGCCGTACATCCGGTTCAGATTGGCGCCGTGGATGTTGGTGCGGTAGTGGCCGCGCGCCACGCCGTCCGGGTTCAGCATCGGCACCACCTTCACCACGTAGAGCCGACGGAGGCGGGCGGCGCGCGCGTCCGCCGACAGGAGGAAGCGCAGGCAGCCGTTCAGCACGTGACTGGAGGGCGTCTCGCCCGGGTGGACGCGCGCCGACAGCAGCACCACCTTACGGCCGGGGAATCGGATGGCGCGCGGCTCGCTCAGAGCCAGCGGAAACAGGCCAGGCAGCCGCATCTCGCGGCCTTCGCCGCCGTCCGCCGCCGTTATGGTCAGCAGGTCCACCCGCCTGCCATCTAGCGTGTAGGTGAGCAACTCGCGGTGATAGTAGATGTCGACAGGTGGCGACAGCCGGAACTGCAGGTCGCGAGCGTTCAGTTCAGTCTGTGAAGAACAACGGTATGTTGCTACTTAAGGCCAACCATTATCCCACAGGGTGCACTGTATGTTTAAAATAAAAAGCATACAACATATCTTTAGCTAGCAGCCAACATGCCAACTCCCATCATAAATGACCACATCACGCCTCCGCCTAACGTTGCGATAAAACGACTTATATGTGACCCGCCAATATCATACAAACTAGTAGAATGTTCAGCCAAGGGCTACTGCTCCGCCGTCCGCGACCAGAGGCCCGTCCCGGACGCTTCCAGAACTTAAGTGCGCAATGGAGTGGAAGTTTTACTGTGACTGCGCATTAACTGCACGTTCTGCCACAATATCGAGTTAGCGAAGTGGGTGCCCCGGCTTACCAGATGAATGGCTAGATCATGGCTAGATCATATAAGGACGGAGGCATAATGAGATATGGGGTCAACCTTAATGCGCAAAAAAATTATCATTACTCGCTTTCGTGACGAATATCACCTCAAAGCAGGAGAAAAAACTCCATCTGTCGCCAACATGGTAATCGCGTGTTAAGCGCTAGTACGTCGCAGCCTGGTCCGGGGCCAGACAGCGATGAGGAACGGCCGTCCCCCACCATATCTCTGATCAGACCCAATCCAGACCATAGAATGCTCCGGAAAAAGACAGCGATGAGGGACGGCCTACCAGACCAGATCCAAACCACACGTTGTTTCGGGGCCAGACAGCGATGAGGGACGGCCGTCCCCCACCATATCACTCATCAGACCCGATCCAGACCACAGAATGTTCCGGAGCCAGACAGCGATGAGGGACGGCCGTCCCCCACCATATCCCTCATCACACCCGATCCAGACCATGGAATGTTCCGGAACCAGATAGCGATGAGGGAAAGCCTTCCCGCCACACATCTCAGCAGACCCGATTCAAACCACAGGCTTCTTCAGAGCCAGATAGCAATGAGGGGCGGCGTCCCCCTCCCCCTACCTCTAATCACACCCGATCCAAACGACAGACTTTCCGGGGCCAGGCAACGATGAGGGACGAGCTTCACGCCAAACCTCTCACCGGACCCCACCCAACCCACAAAATACCCGATCCACCGCTGTCGGGGCGTGGCTGGGGCCGAATGGCAGCTGGATACCCGCCCGCCTCACCTGCAGTTCGGTGTAGGAGTATGGGAAGCTGAAGGCGAAGTAGGTGGTGCAGCGGGCGTCTTCCAGCGTATAGTACTTGAAGCTCATCACGAAGTTGCTCTCCTCCACCTGAATCAACAGGTCAACAGCGTAAGCACTGAGCGGCAGACGGCTCTGGCCGGGTCAGGGACGGACACCAGCCAAACTGATCGCATTCCGTAGTATTCTCCCTAGCTAAAATGAGCGGGTGCGATGACCACGACGTTGGAAAACAGCCAAACGGATCGGCAGGTACGGGAGGCGTCCGATCGCAGGCTGGCACAGGGCGGCCGCCATCACCATTGTTCTGGTTTTGTTCTATGAGGCGGTGCAAACGGATTATTTGCCGCCGGCCGTGTACGGAAAGGGCTGACATCCCAGCGGCAACCCTTCAGAGCGCTTCGCCGAATCTCTTGACCACACAGCGTAGCTGGCCACCGACGGGCTGGCCCGTGGCAGTAGACATACAGTACACGATCAGCAGACTCTCCCATAACCAGACTCCGATAGCAACAGTCGGGCGGGTGACAAGCTATCACAGGCACTTGAAAGGCATTAAGAAAAAGCAAACCAAGCAAATGAGCAATGGTCTAAGCAGCCATCATGGTGATTCTGATGATGATACTGCAACAGTGCTGGAAAGATGACCTCCGACAGAACTTTCTCTAACAAGGAAAAATGTATTCTCCACTCCTTCTTTCTTTGAATTGACATTCGTCTCGACATGGCCTGCGATATGTTTCCGATGCTAGTACCGATGCAACATGGAAGATCGTAATTTGAGAACCACAGAGTCAGACAGAGTCGGGCGGAGCGGCGCCGAACCTTGTACAGGTGTGTGTCGCTGAGTCGCTTCCATTCGGGGAGGAAAGAGCGGGCTCCACGCGGTTATACTGTGCGCATGCCTTGGGCGTACAGCTTGCCTTTGCCCGGTTCAGGTTCATCATGTTGAACCGGACCGTGGCGAACGGCGGCCCGCCTGCAGGCAGGGCACAGGTCGTGAGGTCGCCGCATCATATGTTACGCCATGGTGGATCGACGCGTAGCACTCTCCCGTGGGTGTAAACAGTCTGCACGGCCAAGGATCCACGACATCTCTTAATCGCCTCGCCGGAAGCCGATCACTGACTGACGGCCACTCGCTGCCACGATAGCGGAAGCCAAACTCGCTCTACTGCAATGGGAGGAAGCCAAGTCCGCTCTACTGCAGGTGGGGCGGAAGCCAAGCCGCTCGGTCGCAGTCGAGCAGAGCCAATGCCCGCTTAGCTGCAGTTGACGGGAAGCCAAGCCACGCTCATCTGCAGGTTGAGGCCGGGAAGCCAAGCCCGCTCGGCTGCAGTAGGGCGGAAGCTCCGGCCCCACTCGGCTGCAGTGCAGTAGGCGGAGATCCCAGCCCCGCGCGGCTGCAGTAGGGCGGACGTTCCAGCTCGCTCTACCGCAATTGGCGGAAGCAAGCCCCGCGCGGCTGCCAAGAGTCCGGCGACAGCCGGCCGAGCCCGGCGCCAGCGGCGACGCGCATGGAATTTCGGCACTGTCGGCGATGGCTGGCGGCCGGGCACCACCGGGACAGGAGAAAGTGGAACCAGGTGCGGTTGTTGTTCTCGTACTCGGTGCCGCCCGCAGTCTGGCCGCACCAGCAGTTGAACTCGTAGGCGCACAGGTCGTCCGCGTCTGCCGCAGGCACACGCGGGTCAGAGTCGGGCGGCGGTGGATCTGAACACCGACAGACGCCACGACCGGTCGGTCGTAACCGACGGCGACTGCCCACTAACTGGCGGAGGTTAACGAGTATGAACACAAACCATCTGATGACACGAAGTCGGCACATGAACAGAGGTCATGACATTGCCTGGGTGTTCGGTTGTCTTGCAGGACACGATGACGCACTCGCCAGCTTGAACACAAAGACCGCCGGCAATGCAAATCAATAGGGCTAGCAGAGCCACTAGAGCAACAAACACAGGTCGAAGCACCTGTTTATTCATTACCGTGGGTAGCTAGGTGGTGGCAAGCAAAATAGCCAAATCACTGCATCCTCAAACACAGGCCATACACATATGGTTCATCACATATGGTCCATATGGTTCATCACATTAAAAGCACCGAATGACATGCATCATATGGGGGGGGGGGGGGTTAGTAGTCAGAAAAGCACCACTCCATGGACATATGATTATATATCACACAAATAAATTTGAGTGCTGGAATAATACGCAAAACGCTGACAAGATGTCACCATTCCGTCAATCTTCTCACGAACTCCACAGCTGTATGGTAGATATCAATTCAATGAGCTCAATTGCAATCACTAGAACATGACAATAGCAGTCACTCTCGACCACTATCAGACACTTTGTAGGAAAAGCGGTACACCTCAACATCACATGTCTTCCTTAAAACATTGCATCATTACCATCTAATATGTGCTGAAGAGCACACTGTGACAGCACATACCCAGACCCATCACTGCGTGTCCCAGCTCACTCTCAAACCGAGCAGAGAATCAGGTGAAAGGTGACTTCCGGTCACCTTTCTCCACCACCAGCACGAGCTGCTGGCACATGCAGGAACGAGTGTGGATGTGTGCTGATGCTGGTCTCACTGAAGCATGCATCATGACACAGCTTTCCCACCAACCTTGGCCATCAAAGTGGTTGGAGCCCGGCTCGACCTTCTCCACCCGCTGCAGGTTGCCGGAGTCGAAGTTGGAGGAGATGCGGAAGCCATCAGTCTCGATTTCCATGTCTGCTACCTTCAATGGCTTGAACTATATCACAGATGTTGCCAGGTTTGGTCTGGGGACAGAATTTGAGCGACGATTCAGAATGGCACATAATTAGCTTATTGCACGTTATATGAGAGGCCATGAACACAAAACAATAAGTTGGGCATGTTGATATGTGATGTACAGTGACAAAATGAGCTGGGCATTGACTAAGCTGAAAACATGTTTTAGACCATTTCCTATCAAATTTATGCTATTATACATACAGGCAGCTGCCAATCAGTCACAGGTGGAATGGTTGGCAACTGGCATGGGTTAGCAATAATATCATAATTTCAGTAAAATGTTCATAAGTGAAAAGCAAGGCAGCTAAAATCATTTGAATTTAGCTGAATTTTGTAATTGATTCTGGGTTGTTTACAAACAAAACATGGTATTAAAAGGGGAAGTGCATTCAAATTTGGATGAAAGTGCATGACTTCAATGTATTCCCACACATATCTTGCTTTTCATTGCATTATACTGTATGGAATCTATTACAATCCATTCATGTAGTATGGCTTTCCAGGACTATTCACCATATACAAGGTACAAAATAGGTCAAAAAGCAAGGCAAACATGCATCAGGACAAAAAAGTGGCAATAGCCATAGCAACAATATCCAGACCTTACTACACACACACAATGCAAGCACACGCCGTGAGCCAGGATGGCATTTATGAATAGTCAACGCAGACAAGCACGGAGCGCGTGGCTCTCAGGCCCCCCAGTGCTCTCAGCGATGCACGAAACGCGGACAGTGTCGGACACTCGACGACGGCCGGAGGCAGCTGGTTCCCCAGGCGACAGCATGGTAGGAAACCCCCTCCGTGCGGCCGAGTTTGTGCCTCGGCAGCTCGCGAGCTCGACTTCGGACTACAGGCTGAGCTGGTTATGAAGGGCTTTATACACTTTAAGAAGGCCCCTCTCGCCCACCAGCTGCTCAACATGGGCCCTAATCCAGAAACGTCAACGCCGGACTGCTCCTCGCTCGACGCCGTACACCAGGCACGATACGTGCGCTTAAGTTTGTTATCTTTTCAGCCGGTCTAGCTGATTTGTTTCTGCCCCACACGGAAATGCTCAATGAAATGTGGACAAATCAGTGCGTTTCGACGAGCAGTTTGAACATTGCCCGGTTGAAGTGGTGGCGGGACCGATAGAGGTTTGCGAAGGGCGTTGCTTGCACCTTCTGGCGACGTGGCCGATGTCAATGGCCCCGAACATGCGTGGGCCGATTATTACAGCCAGCAGTCGTATGGACGACGAGGTTTTGGTACCTGACCCAGCTATATTTAGGTGGAAGTCTTCAGCTTTGTTCCGCGGTTTTGACAAGAACCGATTGAAGAAAAATTTTTATTCTGGGTTCATCTTACGTAAATCTGAACTAAACCAGCATTGTAATGTGTTCAAAAAGTTTGCGACATGACATTTTAGTGGTTCAAGATTTCGAGGGTCTGACGAGTCGCGACTGGGTAGCTGGACATCGTCAGCGTACGCCAGCACTTGACAGCCCCGTAAGAGACAGCGAAGGTCATTCGCGAAAAGGCTGAAGAGGATCGGCCCGGCGACCGATTTCTGCGGCCCCGTAATGGACCAGCAGCCGGCGTACCGCCTCTCGAACGCTAGGTTAAGCCCATCATAAAACACGAATGACAACAGGGCCAGCCTGCAGAAAATATGTCCAATGCACTGGGCACCTACGCGGCATCGGTGCCCTGCGCCTCAAGCTCGCGTGCGCCCAACTCGAGCCAAGGCGCGATGTGCCGAATTTTCGAATTACCTCAGTGCGAAAAATGTTTTGGGGTACCTCTGAATAAGATTTTCTCCTTAGCATCATAATTCACTGCAATATTAGCTCTCTTCGCACTGATATTGGCGACACCGTATGCCGAGCTCCGAGCGCTCGAATTTATGGCATACGGGAGCTGAGATTTCGGCCGCGATGCCGCTGCTGCGTCGGACATGTTTGGTGCAGCATGCATATTCTGCAGTTTGATGCCAGAGTATACATCTCCAGGCAAACAAAAATTCACGATTTCTTGATGTTTTTAGTCCCTATGCATTTTGAGTCTTCTCGAGTACAAATGTTGTAGAAATGGGTGTAACCGTAGACAGGCTGGTCAGGAGGGGGAGGGGCATGAAATCAGTTTTATCAAATGGGTGTTTTGTGCTTCCAGTTATCTTAAAAAATTGCATGTCTGTATCTTTTTTCAGAAAAATAGCACTTACATGTCAGGCTGCCCCCAGCTTGAAGTTGGATTCCCTGAGCTTGACTCTCCTTTTTGTGGCCAATGCGAGGCCTCTTTTTCTACCCTTGATGAACCTAGTGTCACTTCTGAGGAGAGGGGATAATTCATTAAGAATTAAGGCCAGGTGATTACATTAATCTGGCATCCTCTGTAATCACAGACATATTACCATCATGTATCTTTGCTGGTATGTATCTGAACTTTTTCAGGGGCAAATTCTCCAAAATCCCATACATTTTCCCAGCACAAAGTGTACATCTCTAAGCTCACCAGTACCATGGCTTCTGTCTCACTGCACACACACTCACCCTGACCTACATCCCTAGATATACCCAATCTTAGTTTTGGCAATTACAAGCTTGAGTGATATAAATAATTGAAATAACAATGCACTTGATATTATAATTTTCAAAGTAACTCAACATTTTTGAACATTTTCTGGTTACACAAGAGTGACATGAACACTATCTTAGCTGAAGTGTTTCAGTTCCGTATTTTTAAGTGATCTGCAAACAAAATCACAAGATCATGATGGTCGCTGCCTCACTGGACACTGGTCCTATAGATAACTATGGTATGATAGGCAGCAAAGCTACATTGCATGTTTAAGCCAAGGAAGTGCTCACATCCTATGGAGAAAATGGCTGTGATTACTATGGGTCATTTTTCTGGAATTTATGACTACAAAGGTAAAGGTGAAAAACTATTACATGAACAAAACCAAAACTGCCAGTGGGCAGCCAATGACTAACATCAAATTTAAGCAAGTGAAGGAGAAAATGTGGGCATGGCTCAACCTGCAGGGAACTAACCAATGCTTTAGTGTTGTATCTCCAACACTCAACACAAATGGTATCATATGAATGCAGATTGTGTTGTACTGTTGATAACATTACAATTTCATTATACCCCTTCTACCCAGCCTTTGAGAAATCCATCTACTGCACTAAATGCCTATAGGGCAGCACATGCAGCCAATGTTTCATGGAAGCATGCTGCTGTAAAGATAAGCTGAGGCAAGTGCTTGACAAGACTTTTTCACATAAAATTGGTTGAAAATTCAGCATATTTTGGCACATTCTGCAGTTGGTGCATGCAAACTTGAGGCTCAGTGCACCAATGCTTAGTATGGTACTGAGGGTCTGGTGGTCCAGTGCAGTTTACATGATTATTTATTTAGTGCAATAAATACATTTTTTGCATGCTTAAGTCAAACCTGCCATATAAATGCATAAAACTTAGGCCAGGCCAGCCCATGCTGAATTTCCAAACTTGCTTTGCTTGAAATAGGCTTGGAAAGCATTCTTGTGCAAAATCACCTTGGAAACAGCATAATTTCTTGAAAATTGGGCTTTCTGTATGCACTGCATTGCTGATAACTATGCACCAAACTCTGAGCACTCAGTTCAGTGGTCTATGAATGTCAAACTTGATGCCACTTTTCCAGACAGGCTTTGTAAAATGTGCAGTTTAGTCAGACTACCATGTAAATGGCACTCTTGAACCTGGTTAGTAACTTTTATGGTTAACACCCTCCAGGAAAGTGGATGATGCATGCTTAACAAAATTCGATTATGCATAGCCTTCAAACACATCAAGTGAAATTAAGTTTAAAATACCGTGAATGTTTTGATCATCAGTCTGTGATGTTTCCTTGTGCACCTCAGCAAGCGGTCACTCACCAATACAAAACATAACCAGCTGAGCTGAACTAATCCAAGTACAGGTTCATCATGTTAGCGTCTCAAAGCAACTTCAGGTGCTTTACGAAGACAAGATCTCGACCTAGTTAAATTTGTTCACTTCGTCCTGTCGTCACTTTCGTGCGGAACTCAACTTCCTATGACTACATGCTCTCAAAACGCAAATGATCACAACCATGACCACCAATTGGCGGCTGAAAATTCATGAGTCGGTGGGGGCTATTTTCCTCCCCTACTTACCACCGCTTCATGCGCCGCCTGTGTACACACCCCCTCTTCCTCGCCTCAACGCACACAGATGTTAGTTGCAAAACATTTCACCAGCCCTTTGAGGCGAACGCGACGCAAACATGGTGGATAAGACCACCAAATTCACGAAACGGGTTTTAATAAAAGAAACCATAGATGTCTGATGCCGCTAGGTCGGAAACACCTGTGCCCAGAGTGTGCAGTCGGCAAAGAGGGGCACTGTCCATGGAATTCAACTGAATCCCTGTGCATGGGTGGTCCGGGTACGGCTTGGTGGTGGCATCTACGATGAAAGCAAATGAAGCGCTGGTTTCGGCTGATGAACGCGTGCGTCTCACAAAAGAGAGCCGTCGGGACGGGTTGCCTCCAGCCCTGTAACTCACCCAGTTTACCTTAGTTTGGCCAGGTTGTCCGCAAGTCTACACCATCTTACAGCTTGTCTAGGTATTAAATGCAAGCAGCTGATGCCCGTCTTTCGATTGTTCTCGTCTGGCAGGGCTTTGAGACCACTGCGCCCAGCCGGGGTTGATTTCCGGTCTGGGATTTCCAACTTCCAGTCGTTGCGCTCAAAGATACAAAGGTGCAAGCAAACATACCGTCGTGAATGCCTCGTAAAGTCATAAAAAGTGCTCACCAAATGTTTAATCTTAGGTCAAATGTGAGGTTATGAAAGGTTACGCAATGCCAGAAAGGTAGTTCTGATAGATGTAGTTAAAATGTATGGTGAAGGACATGTTCCACATTTGAAAATATTGGAGCAAGCATCATATTTGATGAAATAAGCTCACTTATGTTAAGCATGGGTGTAGGAACTTGGGAAGCGCAGGGTCATGCCTCCAACACGCTTTTTAAGATGGGGCCAGCAGTGTTAACTTGCCGCCCACTTTTTCAGACGTATGTTGCGTTCACCTTATTTTTGTACTGCCTTAACCATGCATGGTGATTTACCTAGTTCACCAGCCATCTTCCTCAAGATGCGTCATCTGTTTCGTTTGCCCATTGGCACGCGTGTTGATTAGTATTCTTTTGGGTGAGGCACTGCCTCGCCCCCCCCCAAAAAAAAATTGTCCCCCTCCCTTCAACGGTGAGTTTGCCCCACAACTTTCTGGAGCGCAATCGCATGTAGGGCATTACAAAAAGAATCTGGAACTTGGATGAAATTTAAAGAAGGGCCCATCTACCAAATGTTTCACGGGTAAACGGGCCAAACAAAATGAAAACTATGATATAATGTCCACTTGAGTGCACCTTACTGAATTAGTCACACTTAACAAGCCTCGCGCTCGTACTTTGTGCACTGCAGTTTTTTTCCCTGCTTTTGCTGCATGATACTACATGTTTTTAACTACGCGAGTTATAACTATAGTTGACTATAGTCTAGTTTTGTGCTTTCGCCAGTGCTTTCGCATTTTTCAGTGATGTTACAAGTTGTACAGACCGCAGAAAGCTGCGTTATTTTGTTACATGGTCTTATCGGAAAATGAAAACAAATCGGTGGAATATTTGCACCCAAAAGGTGGCCAAGTTATTAGCCGCCTACGTTCGGAGAAACTCTTGAAATATGTCGGCCTTCACTTCAATGCGAGTATTCGACGACACAATTACAGAAACCTGGCGATTGACACCAGCTGACTAAACTGAGAGTGATATCCGTCCGGCCATGACCACCAACACCAGCTGTGTCAAACATGTCTAACGGGAGTGATGCGCTTGCGCCCGCCCTGCGGCAGTCAGCCGGGATCTTCATGGCAGACCTTACTTGTAGCGCAAAGCAGCTTACACTCTTTGTTCCCTTGGCCGTACACCTCCAACAGCGTCTGAAACCACATGACATCAACCTTACGTCGATTACCGGGGCCTGGTTTCGACGATTGACGCCAAACAAAATTAGAATGATGCACAACGACAACATGTTTCACCGAGACAGAGCAAGCAAACGCATTGGACTAGGGCCGCATTTTCCT